CCATTTGAAAAATCTTACCGAAGTCACATCTATAATCCTGGAGGATTAAAGCATTTTGGGCATAAGATACTCATACAACACCCAAAACATTTTGACCACTCAGACCCTTCTATAATTTCCCTCACAGGGTATTATTTTAATGTCATACTCATTACTCGCTTCAATTTAGATTTATATTGCATGACAGAAAGCTGAATTTGGCAAAAATAAGGTGGCAAATCAAGCTTATTATATAGGCAAAACTTGTAAACTTGGTATAATCTAGCAGTTAGCATATAAAGGCTGCCACAAGCATAGTAATAATTGAACAAGGTGCTACTTCCGGATTAAGAAGGTGAAACATTGTAAACTCAATGATGTGATTGATACAAAAGATTACGATGGGATAAGATAAAATTATATTATAAATATGAATAAATTAAATAATATTATTTTATCTTGTGTTTGATGTGTTCAAAGATTAGAATAAGATAATTTTATTTATTGATCAAAATTATCATTCTTTAAAGTTTATACAATTTAAGTTATTGATATAATTTTTTAGGGTATAATAGACCATGTAAGTTCAATCCTTTGTATTCAAAACAATCCTCTCCATTTTGGGAGGATCAAAATAATCCTATCCTAAGAAGATAATTAATCTTCCTTGTAATCTTGTCCCCTTCTTTAAATACAAATCAAATATGACATATAATAATTATCATCATGTCCTATCAATCATCCTATAGACCAAATGTGACCTAAGTTCCTTTAGGTTGTTCTAGTTGTTTGTATTTGGTTATTAGATTGCTTTAGAATGTGCATCTTTAGTTTGCAATTTATTCTGATTTCTTTGTTCTGTTTATGTGCAGGTGGGGCTTCAAATTCGGGAAGCATGGTTCGACATGTAGATTCCTTTGGTGACTCTGAGGTGCTTTGATTATGCCATTTTGTAATTGATAAATGCAAAACTCTTGAGGTGCTGCTGCTTCTCATTTGTCATTGGTTTATCAATTTGGCAGGATTCTTCGGAGGAAGCTAACTTAGAAAATTCTGAACCGAAAAATGATAAGAAGATAAGAGCAACCTCCTCTCAGGTGTGCTTCGAAGGTTCAAAGTTGAAAGCTTTTCAGGGTGAGTTTTCTCTGTCTGAGTAGCTTTATTCATTTCAATTTCCAAAATGTTTAATCGTCATAGCAAAGACATTAGTATTTTGCATAGGCTTTCATATATTGTTATGAACGATTCCTCCTCAAACCCATCCTTCTTCCTCAGAGTTAGATGCATCTCAAAAACCTCTTCAGACCCATCTCAGTCTTTTGTAGTCTCTTACCTCAAAGAAAAACTTGGGTTCTCACCAGAATCTGCCATGACGGCTTGCAGGTATCTCTTTTTCAAAACCCCAGATAAGCCTGATTCTGTCATTGCATTTCTGGAGAAACATGGGTTCTCGAAAACCCAAATCAAAAAGATCATCGCAATTCGACCAGATCTCCTGTATTCTAATGCTGAGAAAACCCTTTTACCCAAGCTAGAGTTTTTCCAATCTAAAGGTTTTTCGAGCCCTGAACTCATAAAAATCCTTTTTTACAACCCCACAATTTTAACTTATAGCTTAGATAAAAAGATTGTCCCTCGTTTCAATCAACTTAGCAATTTGCTCCAATCTGATTCCAAGGCTACGACAGCTATAAAACGCCATCCACTTCTTTTCTCATGTCAACTTGATGCTTATCTGTTACCAAATATCAGTATTCTGAGGGATAATGGAGTGCCTGAGTCAAATATCATATCAATGTTTACTCACCACCCTAAATCTTTTGTTTTAAACCCTGATCGGTTTAAGGAGATTGTGAAGAAAGTGAAGGAAATGGGGTTCAATCCTTTGCTACTTAAATTTATTCTTGCTGTCATTGTGTTTAGAAAAGTGAGCAAACCTGCAATGGAGAGGAAGTTTGACGTTTATAAGAAGTGGGGTTGGTCTGAACTGGAGATTTGGGAAGCTTTTCGAAGGTATCCAAATGTTATGGAAACATCAGAGGAGAAGATTGTGGCAATAATGGATTTTCTTGTGAACAAAATGGGTTTTCAGTCTTTGCTCATTGCCAATCAACCGAGTGTTTTTGGACGGAGCTTCGAGAAGCGGATTGTTCCGAGGGGTTTATTTGCTCAAGATTTGTTATCAAAAGGTTTAATTAAGAACTTGGGATTTTCTACATTGTTTGACACTTCAGAAAAGGTGTTTGTTCGGAGGTTTGTTAACAAATATGAATGCAAAGCACCGGAGCTGTTAATGCTGTACAAAGAAAAACAGGATCTTGCAATAGGAGGCAAATATAGATCAGGGTAGCATAAAATCTAACATATTTGATTGAGCTGACTTTTCTATCCGATTGAATTCCTTGATCTCAAACTTGCTCCAGTTTGAATAAATGAGTGCAACTAGTACTGTGTTTTTAGTAGTATTCACTGTTACCATCTGTGAAACTTGAACTCAACTATGTGCTCAGCCTGTCTTATGTGGTTTAATAGTCATCTTGCTTGAAATGCAACTGTGAAATGAGTCTCATTTATAGAGCTTACGATCTTTAGGTTTATTATATTGTGTGATAAGGATTTTGGCTCCAAATGGTGTTCTTTTTCATGCAACTTTTCTGCTTGTTTGAAGTTATGAAGGTCAAATTGCCTGTTGTTTTGGTGCAGCTTTGTGGCTGTAGTTTTAATTATTATAATATTTCTGCTGGTAGCCACCAAGTAAAGGGTGATTGTGGAGGGTAGGTAGGGAAAATGAGGTTCAATCCTTCAAGGTTTACGCTGTTTTTATGGGTGTCAGGATTGGGGACAATCAGCAAATCCGCATCGGAGAGGAAGTTTAATGTTTATAGAAAGTGTGGTTGGACTGATGAACAAAGTTGCCGAGCTTTTCCAAGGTGTACCTTGTGTTTTGACAGCATCTGAGAAAAAGTTTATGGCTATAATATATTTTTTGTAAACAAAATGAAGCTTGACAAAGTCCTTTCACGTGCTTAACTTCATCTCCACTTTGCTTGCTTAAAAGTTGTTAATGGGGTCTCATTTGCTGTGTTTATCAGTCTCCAAGTGAGGTTCTTGTCATATAACTGTTAGATCCTCTTCATCATTTGTTTAGAGTTATGAACGTCAATTTGCCTTGGCCTAATTGCCTTTTGCTTGGGAATCTTTGTCCCAAGGCGGAGCTGTGCTTGAACCATGTGGTTCTTCATCTTCCAATACGGAACGCATAGGCTCAACAGCCATTAGACACTGAATAATTTGTAAGAAGAAGAAAAAAAAAAGGACTATAGAGTAGAGACTAACTGTGGTGAGCACCAACTATATCCTCAATGAACAATGGAAGATGGAGATTATGATGTCATTATCAGTTGAACATCGACGTTCCCATTGTTAACTGCATATTTTTTCATTCGAATATTGTAAAACATGAATTGAAATTAATATTTTGATTAGTAATCGAGTCAGATATGATTCTTATCAAAATTCAAAAGTAAATTGTAAGACACATTCATTAATACAAAGTCTGATAAATAATAGTAGTGTGATTTGCTGATAAAGAAGTTAATATAAGATCAACGAGTCCGAGAGCTGTATTCATTGTTCCAGAAGTGGAGCTTTGAGCCTAATTGTGGCCGACTGTTTGCTGCTCAACTTTATCTTGCTGTTTTTTAGCCAGTTCTTGTATGTATATATATATATGTATGTATGCACGTATGTATGTTTGTGTGTGTGTATATATATATATATATATATATATATATATTTGTATGTAACAACTATTATTTTCGGTGCAGCAATTTCATAGTCATAATTCATGATTTATGATGTGTTTTTTTGTTGGTAAGGGCAAAGTTTGAAGCTTTTAATATTCCCAAAGTCTTTGGGCTTTTTTAATAGGATCAATCATAATATTAGTTTCTATTCATATTAATTTAAAATGATTCTTTCTCCTTTTTATGATTAAAAATAATTCATTATTAAAAAATAAATGTTAGCAAAACTTAAGACTTTTAAGTGATTATCTTCATTTTTTAAATTACTCATAACAAATGTCACACTTTTTTTTCCTATTTTTAAATATTAATATGTAGAAGAAAGGTTCCCTCCCCATGTCCATTAACCTAAAAAAAAAATAAAAAAAAATAAAAAATCTTGGAAAAAAAAAACTAGAATAAGTTGCCCCAGTTAATGTATATGGATAATTTAAAACAGATATAATAGTATAATAAAAAATATATAAAAATTATAAAATTAACATGATTTAAAATTTTAATAAAAATTGTAATAAAAATGATAAAATTTAAAATTTTAATAAAAATTATATATAATTAATGATGAGAAAAAAATGAGAAATTGTAAATCAATTCCAAATTGTAATGTTAAGTTTAATTTGGATTTTTTTTATTTGATTTCAATCAAAATTCAAATATTAAATATATATATATAAAGTTCGTATCAAATTTTAAATTAAAATATAAAAAATTAAAAATTAAAAGAAATTGTATATTTTTATTAATTTATATATATATTAAATTTTTATAAAATAAAATAATTATTTTATAATAAATTTATTTAAAAATTTTATTAAAATAATATATAAAAATCAAAAAATAAAATTTAAAAATCAATTAATCAAACCAAACCGAAAAAATTTGATTTGGATTGAATCAATGTCAAAAATATATCAATTCAAATTTAGATAAAGTTTTAAAAATTAATAATTCTGTAAAAAAGATAAAACCGAGTCTAATATAATCCAAATCATTATCACGTAATAAATTTCATATTTTATACTATATTTTTTACTTGGAACAAACAATACGAATACAAAAATCGCACTGAAATTATGCCCGGAAATTGGAAAGTTTGAAGCTTTGAGTTGAATTGAACAATAAAAAATTAAAAGAAAAGTTACGATTTTCAAGAGCAATCTTCCTCTACTCTCTGCCTTGAAGGTTCAAAGTGAAGGCTTTTCAGGGTGAGTTTTCTCTGTCTGAGAAGCTTTATTCATTTCAATTTCCAAAATGTTTAATCGTCATAGCAAAGACATTAGTATTTTGCATAGGCTTTCATATATTGTTACGAACAATTCCTTCTCAAACCCATCCTTCTTCGTCAGAGTTAGATGCATCTCAAAAGCCTCTTCAGACCCATCTCAGTCTTTTGCAGTCTCTTACCTCAAAGAAAAACTTGGGTTCTCACCAGAATCTGCCATGGCGGCTGGCTGGTATCTCTTTTTCAAAACCCCAGATAAGCCTGATTCTGTCGTTGCATTTCTGGATAAACATGGGTTCTCGAAAACCCAAATCAAAAAGATCATCGCAAGTCGATCAGGTCTCCTGTATTCTAATGCTGAGAAAACCCTTTTACCCAAGCTAGAATTTTTCCTATCTAAAGGTGTTTCAAGCCCCGAACTCACCAAAATCCTTTTTACCAACCCCAAAATTTTAACTTGTAGCTTAGAGAAAAACATTGTCCCTTGTTTCAATCAACTTAGCAATGTGCTCCAATCTGATTCCAAGGCTATGACAGCTATAAAACGCTATCCATTTCTTTTCCCATGTAAACTTGACGCTCATCTGTTACCTAATATCAGTATTCTGAGGGACAATGGAGTGCCTGAATCAAATATCATATCAATGTTTAATTACCACCCTAGATCTTTTGTCGTAAACCCTGATCAGTTTAAGGAGATTGTGAAGAAAGTGAAGGAAATAGGGTTCGATCCTTTGTTACTTAAATTTATTCTTGCTGTCATTGTGTTTAGAAAAGTGGGCAAACCTGCAATGGAGAGGAAGTTTGACGTTTATAAGAAGTGGGGTTGGTCTGAACTGGAGATTTGGGAAGCTTTTCGAAGGTATCCGAATGTTTTGGAAATATCGGAGGAGAAGATTGTGGCAATAATGGATTTTCTTGTGAACAAAATGGGCTTTCAGTCTTTGCTCATTGCCAATCAACCAAGTGTTTTTAGACAGAGCTTTGAGAAGCGTATTGTTCCAAGGGGTTTGTTTGCTCAAGATTTGCTATCGAAAGGTTTAATTAGGAACTTGGGATTGTCAACATTGTTTGACACTTCAGAAAAGGTGTTTGTTCAGATGTTTGTTAACAAATATGAATACAAAGCACCAGAGCTGTTAATGCTGTACAAAGAAAAACAGGATCTTGCAATAGGAGGCAAATATAGATCAGGGTAGCACAGAATCTAACATATTTGATTGAGCTGACTTTTTTATCGGATTGAATTCCTTGATCTCAAACTTGCTCCAGTTTGAATAAATGAGTGAACTAGTACTTTATTTTTAGCAGTATTCAATCTTGTCATCTGTGAAACTTGCACTCAACTTTGTGCTCTGCCTGTTTTATGTGGTTTAATAGTCATCTTGCTTGAAATGCAACTGTGAAATGAGTCTCATTTATAGAGCTTACGATCTTTAGGTTTATTATATTGTGTGATAAGGATTTTGGCTCCAAATGGTGTTCTTTTTCATGCAACTTTTCTGCTTGTTTGAAGTTATGAAGGTCGAATTGCCTGTTGTTTTGGTGCAGCTTTGTGGCTGTGGTTTTAATTATTATAATAATTCTGCTGGTAGCCACCAAGTAAAGGGTGATGGTGGAGGGTAAGTAGAGAAAATGAGGTTCAATCCTTAAAGGTTTACGCTGTTTTTACTGGTGTCAGGATTGGGGACAATCAGCAAATCCACATCGGATAGGAAGTTTAATGTTTATAGGAAGTGTGGTTGAGCTAATGAACAGAGTTGCGGAGCTTTTCCAAGCTGTCCCTTGTAGTTGACAGCATCTGAGAAAAAGTTTATGGCTATAATATATTTCTTGCAAACAAAATGAAGCTTGACAAAGTCCTTTCACGTGCTTAATTTCATCTCAACTTTGCTTGCTCAAAAGTTGTTAATGGGGCTCATTTGCTGTGTTTATCAGCCTCCAAGTGATGGTGTTCTTGTCATATAACTGTTAGATTCTCTTCATCATTTGTTTAGAGTTATGAACGTCAATCTGCTATGAAAAAAAAACCCAAAATATAGAAACTCAACTTCATTGGAATTGTTGAAGTAAATAGTGGTACCTTCAGATTGAGTGCTCTGTCATGGAATAACCTAGCTGGAACACTAAATTTGCCCTTTACAATATCAGAGGGCTTTATATCCTCTCCAATTGCTGGTCTCTGTGCATCCATCTTTCGCTTACTCCTGACTTTTGTAGGTAGGTTGACCTGGTGAATAGATGAAACCTGTGCAGTAGATGGAGCTGAAGTGTTCAAGTCCCTTCAATGATCAGTACTTGAGGATGTACGCTCTGGAGGTCTCACAGATTGCTTTGGATGTCCAACATTACTTGAGGATGTATGCTCTGGAGTTCTCACAGATTTCCCTTGTTTTGGATGTGCAATATTACTTGTGGACGTACGCTTTGGAGGTCTCACAGATTTCCCTTGCTTTCTATGTGCAATATTATTAGAGCGTTTACCTTTGCTCACAGGATTCTTTACCTCGTCTGAAGCCTAAAAAATGCACATAAAAATAGCAACATCAAGAACCAGTAATAAGTGATGAAGGGAAGAACATGACCCTATAGAGTATAAATTTATAAATTTTCCTAAGCAAAAAAATTGCACAGTTTTAAGTTACAAAGAAGACCCTCAAATTGCAAGGTCGAACAGGGAAGAAAAAAATAATTACTAACTGAGCTAGACATCTCTACCAACATAGAATGCCCTTGGCTGACCCACAAACCAGTTAAAATATTTAACTGAGTTGATCTTTTACTTGTACTTCCTAAATTTACATCTATAATGTTCTCAATCACCAACTCAAACCTTTAGCTATTTATTCACTTCCTCCTTTCTCAAATAGCAGTTCACGTGATGAAAGGGCTATTCCTTACCAATTCATCTCCCTGTTATCTTCACTTCATAAAAAATTTATTTAATTCTTTTCATAATATTTTCTCTTATAAGATTTATTGTTATATTTCTTAGTCTGTTTGTCACTCAAACTCAAGCTATGGGTGCCAAGATTACTTGCACCAAAAACAAAATAGATTTAAGTATGAACCCAATTCATAAAGTTCAATAAAATTAATCTCAGAATCAAAAACATTTATTGCATTCATGGTAAAAAGTTTATTTAACATTCTGCAGAAGAAAAATATCTTAAGAGACAATCATATCAATCAAGGGACTGAAAAAAAAATTTACATCATACATTAGCTGTGTTTGTGCTTTTTTACCTGAAAGCACTAAAAGGAGCCATTGTAACTCTTTGAAGCAAAAAATGTGAAAAATACAAACCTCAATGTTTGGAGATTCACCCAACTGAGAATCAGCATCAGTTTCATCTTTTGGAATCTGCAACTAGTGAGCAACTTGCATATTATCGTTGTTTCACACTATAAACCCAATGAATTTTTTTTTGCCAAAAAAGAATCAATGGAAAACGAAGGTTGACCTACAAAAGAAAAAAACAAGCAAAACTGGCTGCATCAACTCTTGCTTTATATGGTGAGGACTTCTGTCTACTTTTCTGCATTTCAACATTATTTGGATGTGTTTCCTCCTTGGCTTCGGGAATAGCATGAACATCATGATGAAAAAGTATTCCCTGTTTAAATGTTTCGGAGGCAGTGGCTTTAGCTCCAGGAACAGGGTGATTTCCTTTTGGTTTAGTCTTCTCAACAACTTCATTTTTCTCTTCCTTAAACTGCACAGATGACTCTGACACAGAAGAAAAAAGAGGTGGGATATGACATACATAAACACACACAAAAAGAGAGATCTTCCAGAGTTTGAATCATCAAGAAGGATTTACGGTGTGTAGTTTAAGCTAGAGCAAATGAAATCATTAAGTTCAAAATTAGAGCAGGTTTTTATCTTGTGTTAAGATTGCAGGCTTTAACTTATTGAAAAGATCATCTGAAGCTTGAAAATGCCATTTGCAAAATCTTACCTAAGTCACATCTATAATCCTGGAGGATTAAAGCATTTTGGGCATAAGATACTCATACAACACCCAAAACATTTTGACCACTCAGACCCTTCTGTAATTTCTCTCACAGGGTATTATTTTAATGTCATACTCATTACTCGCTTCAATTTAGATTTATAATGCATGACAGAAAGCTGAATTTGGCAAAAATAAGGTGGCAAATCAAGCTTATTATATAGGCAAAACTTGTAAACTTGGTATAATCTAGCAGTTAGCATATAAAGGCTGCCGCAAGCATGGTAATAATTGAACAAGGTGCTACTTCCGGATTAAGAAGGTGATACATTGTAAACTCAATGATGTGATTGGTACAAAAAATTACGATGGGATAGGATAAGATGATATTATGAATAGGAATAGATTAAATAATATAATCTTATCTTGTGTTTGATATGTTCAAAGATTAGGATAAGATAATTTTATTTATTGGTCAAAATTATTATTCTTTAAAGTTTATACAATTTAAGTTATTGATATAATTTTTAAGGGTATAATAAGCTATGTAAGTTCAATCCCTTGGATTCAAAACAATCCTCTCGAAATAATCTTATGCTAAAAGGATAATTAATTTTCCTTGCAATCTTGTCTCCTTCTTTAGATACAAACCAAATATGACATAGAATGATTATCATCATGTCCTATCAATCATTCTATGTACCAAATGTGACCTAAGTTCCTTTAGGTTGTTCTAGTTGTTTGTATTTGGTTATTAGATTGCTTTAGAACGTGCATCTTTAGTTTGCAATTTATTCTGATTTCTTTGTTCTGTTTATGTGCAGATGGGGCTTCAAATTCGGGAAGCATGCTTCGACATGTAGATTCCTTTGGTGACTCTGAGGTGCTTTGATTATGCCATTTTGTAATTGATAAATGCAAAACTCTTGAGGTGCTGCTGCTTTTCATTTGTCATTGGTTTATCAATTTGGCAGGATTCTTCGGAGGAAGCTAACTTAGAAAATCCTGAACCGAAAAATGATATGAAGAAAAACAAGAAAAACAAGAATAAAAAGGAGAAGAAGAACAAGAACAAGAACAAAAAAAGAAGGTTGCTTTTTTTTTGTATTATTTATTTTTGCCATGTTTTCCACTTGACTGATCAAATGAGAAGCCTCTGCTGTTGCAGGTGGTGGAGGATCATGAATGTAAATTGAAAAGGCCTAAAAATAAGGTTAAACTATGATCAGGATTAATGCTTATGATAGGTGCGTTTGGAAAAAAAAAAGAAAAATTATAGACTTTGAAAAAAACTGAGGATCAACAGCCTAAGAAGCAGAAGAAAGGATCGCTGAGGAGTCAGAAGAAGAGAATCAGATACATGATTACTATTCATGGAAGGGCGTTGGGGGGGGGGGGATGAGGGGGTTGGTTTCTTTAAAGGCAATTTGACCTCCAGACCCTTAAAAATTAGATGCTTTTTTTTTTTTTTTACAAATCAACTTGTTATTCTTACACATAACTGATGTGTTTCTTTTGGACACATCTTGAATCTCTATGGATGTGCAAATGATGTTTTATTATTTATCTTAGTTGAAATGGTGAAATAACAAGAAGTTTGTTCTTGTTGTGTAGCATTTTAATTTTTAAGGCACATGGCCTGTGGATTCTTGATTCAAAGCCTAAGAAGACAAAGTCAGTTGTTATTATCAAGATCTTGAAAAGATCCTTTATTATATAGGGTAGTATTGATGTAATCTTTTTAATCCAACTTATAAGAGTAACATGTTGTGAATTTGAATATCCATTCAAACCTCAAAAATTAATATAGAAAGTTTTTCTTGCATGGAATTCAAAATTTTCAATTTGGGGCAAAACATTAAAAATAGATGAAAAGGATACATCAAGCTTAGATAAAGCATTGGGTATTTTTTGCAATATCTTTTGCAAAATTATGTGGTAATGTAATTATTGAAATGATTTTATTATAAATGTGATTTTATCATTTTTTATTTAAAATTATTTTATTTTATTAACAATCATTAATGATTAATAATTAAAGATCAAATATTATTTTGTTTAAATATACGAAAATAATTATGGATATTATAATAGTTATACAAATTAATGATTTGAATGCTATTTAAAGATAATAATTTATAAAATATTAGTAGTATTTTATTTATTTTATAATAAAATATAATTAAATGATTAAATTAATAAATATATTTATTGATAAGCAATCTAATTTTTATAATATAAATTATGTAAAAAATATTTGAATTGACAAATAAAATTAATTTATTAAATTCATAATAAACGAAAAATAAAAAAATATTATATATAAAAATATAAAAAACACAAATCATTTTTAAAGTTATTACAATTAATATCAATTTTATAAAAAATTATAATATAAAATAATTATAATTAAAACGAAAGCATGCATAATATTAATTATTGTTAATTTTATGTATTAATTCACTTTAATGATAAAAGTTTCTCATCATTTTCAATGAAAATTAAATTATAATTCAAGACAATAATTTGATCATTTTTGGTAATTCAAGATCACTACCGCATATAATCAATTGGTGTTCGTCAAATACAATAATCTAATCATCGTATATAAATCATCATAATTTTTGAAGTGATTATCATATACTAAACGTTACCATAGTAAACAAAAAGCTTAGACAACATATATATAGTAGGGATTACATTAATGTAATTTTTATATTTTTTTAACTTTTGAATCAAAATTATTAAATTTAAAAATATTATTTAAATTTAAATAAGTCATAAATTTAATTTTGATTAAAAAATTCAAAAAATATAAAAATTATATTAGCATAACTAGATCTAATATATATATATATGGTAAAAAAATATTAGATAATTTTAGACTCATACAAGACAAAGAATATGGGAGAAGCTTAAACTTTCTAAAACATCTTTTTTTTTTTTATAAAAAAGTATTAGTCATAAAAAAATATTCATCGGCTAATATTCAAAAAAATGGATTTGGCATGGGACCTATTCTTTTTTTTTTTTTAACATTAAAGTTATTAACATTTAAAATTTAATTTTATCAATAAGTTTAAATTTTTTATCGACTATTTTTAAATTAGTTAAATTTAAAAATTACGATTTTAAAAAAATTTGGACGGATAATATCATCTTTAACAATGTATTTTAAAATTTTAAAAAATATATATAAATTTCCTATATTTAAAAAAGGGCTAAAAATATTAAAGCCCTTTCGCCTTATACAAGCAAGAGACAAGCCACTTGTATGCCATATCCTCCGAAGATATCAAAGTTAACTCCACCAAGGAAAGAATATATATATATATTTTTTAAGTCTCAGCAGCAGCAGGTGAGTCTGATCTAATTTGTTATCTCCTTAAATTTATTTTTCAGTTCCAATGTTTTATTCTTTCTTCCATGGGAAGCAGAAGAAAATCTTCACAGCCTTCTAAGTCAGAGACTTTTCTGCATTCTTCAAAACAACCCATCAATTTCATCTCTCAGATTATTCTCAACCATTCAAATCGGCACTCATTTACAGTTTCATATCTCATAAACACATGTGGGTTGTCTCCAGAATCTGCTTTCTCTGCTTCTAAAGTTGTGCACTTTGAAACCCCTGATTGTCATTGCCTTTTTCAAGAACCATGGTTTCTCAGAACCCCAAATCACAATCCTCATCAGGGGTAGGCCAAGAGTGCTATCATCTGATGTCAAGAATGCTCTTTTCCCCAAAATTGAGCTTTTCAAGTCTAAAGGAGTTTCAAGCCCTGACCTTGCCAAAATCTTAGGTAATCATCCAACTATTTTAAGTAGAAGCTTAGAGAATCATATAATCCCTACTTTTAATTGCCTTGGAAATCTTCTTATGTCTGATGAGGCGGTTATTAAAGCTATAAAACGCTTTCCTCGTATTGTGACTTATGATCTTGATAATTATGTGTTACCCAGTATTGATATACTGAGGAATTATGGAGTGCCTGAATCCAATATTATCAAAGTACTTCATTCAATGTCTAAAATACTCTTGAAAAGGTCAGTTGAGTTTAAGGAAAATTTGGAAAAAGTGAGGGAAATGGGTTTCAATCCAATGATGATGTAATTTGTAATCGCTGTCAATGTCTTGAATTTTAGGACTAAATCCATGTGGGATAGAAAATTTTATGTTCATAAGAATTATGGTTGGTCTGAGAAAGAGATTATAGATGCTTTTCGGAAGTATCCCTTGTTTATGACTGTGTCTAAGGGGAAAATTGTGAAAATAATGGATTTTCTTACGAACAAAATGGGATTGCAGTCTTCAATTATTGCTAAGCGCCCTCTTGTGATAACGCAAAGCTTGGAAAAGAGGATTGTTCCGAGGGGTTTGTTCGCTCTAGATTTGTTGTCAAAAGGTTTGGTTAAGAAGGAATTTAACTTGGAGGCATTGTTTGAGGATTCAGAAAAGTTGTTCATTGAGAAGTTTGTGAATCGCTATGAAGCAGATGCTCTTGAGCTGTTAAAGTTATATCAAGAAAAGTTTGATCTTTCAAATAAACCGAAAGCTGGTACATCCAAGCTGCAGAGATTATAGAATGTCGACAATAAGATTCAGATTTTCCTCCTCATGTTAATTTTATATAATTGAATTCATTGATGTGAAACTAGCTTCTGCTTTGGGTCTTGAATATTTGTAATACAAAATTGTTGTCTGTAGTCTTTTCTTCTGTTAGTGAAGTTTTAACTCGACCATGTATGCTTTGACACTTAACTATGCCGGTATATCTCATCTTACTGTCATAAAGTGCAATTGCAAAATGAGCTTCTTAGTTGATGTTTTCTTCTTTTTTATGCAACTATAACTTCTTGTTCATTATTTGTTTAGGAATGGTTGATGTTTGAGGAATGATACATCAAAACTGTTCTTTTGAGTTTTTTTTTTTCTTTTGAGTTTCCTATAAGCTGGGTAGGGAACAAACTAGAAGTTAGGAGATTATAGTGTTGAATTAATGGCGGATACTTTGTGTCAACATTTTTTCCGTCATGTGAAAAACATCCTTTATAAGTTCTGAACCTTGGCAGGGTAAACTACAATGGCAAACTACAGAATTCAATGGAGCTGTATTTTTTGTTCCAGTAGTGGAGCTTTGAGCCTAACTGTGGCTAACTCTTTGCTGCTTCACTTTATCTTATCTTGTTGTTTTTTTGCAAATTCATGTATATATATGCATGTATGCATGTATGTATGTATGTATATATATGTATGTATGCATGTATGTGTGTGTGTATATATATATATATTTTCAATGCAGCTGTATTCTTTGTTCCAGTAGTGGAGCTTTGAGCCTAACTGTGGTTGACTCTTTGCTGCTCCACTTTATCTTATCTTGCTTTTTTTTTGCAAATTCATGTATGTGTATATATATATATATATGCATGTTTGCATGTATATATGTATGTATATATATGTATGTATGCATGTATTTATGTGTGTGTGTATATATATTTTTTCAACGGAGCTGTATTCTTTGTTCCAGTAGTGGAGCTTTGAACCTAACTGCGGTTGACTTTTTGCTGCTCCACTTCACTTATCTTGCTGTTTTTTTGCAAGTTCATGTAGCATATACACGTGTGTATGCATATATACATATATATACATACATGAATATATGTATATATATATATATGTATGTATGCATATATATATGTATATATATATGTAAATATATATTGAACTACTATAATTTTCAGTGCAGCAATTCAATGGAGCTGTATTCTTTGTTCCAGAAGTGGAGCTTTGAGCCTAACTGTGGCTGACTCTTTGCTGTTCCACTTTAACTTATCTTGCTATTTTTTTGCAAGATCATGTATGTATATATATATGCATGTATGTATATATATATATGTATGTATGTAACTGCTATCATTTTCAGAGTAGCAATTTTATCTTCATAATTCATGATTTATGATGTGTTTTTTAGTTGGCAAGGGCAAAGTTTGAAGCTTTTAATATTCCCAAAGTCTTTGGGCTTTTTTAATAGGATCAATCATAATATTAGTTTCTATTCATATTAATTTAAAATGATTCTTTCTCCTTTTTATGATTAACAATAATTCATTGTTCAAAAATAAATGTTAGCAAAACTTAAGACTTTTAAGTGATTATCTCTATTTTTTAAATTAATCATAACAAATATCACACTTTTTTTCCTATTTTTAATTATTAATATGTAGAAGAAAGGTTCCCTCCCCATGTACATTAACCTAAAAAAAAAAAGATAAAAAAATCTTAGAAGAAAAATAGAATAAGGTGTCCAGGTTAATGTATATGAATAATTGTAAACAGACATAATAATATAATAAAAAGTTATAAAAAGCTATAAAATTAACATGATTTAAATTTTGACTAAAAATCGTAATAAAAATGATAAAATTTAAAATTTTGATAAAAATTATATATAATTAAAGGTGAGAAAAAAATAAAAAATAAAAAATTAATTTAAAGTTATAACATTGTGTTCACTTCGGATTAATTTTTTTTATTTAATTCGTATCAAATTTTAATATTAGATATATATTAAATTTTAATCGAATTTTTGCATCAAAATGTAAAAAATCAAAAAAATTGAATGAAATTATATTTTTTTATTAATTTTTTATATTTTTTTAAATTTTTATAAAATAAAATAATTATTTTATAATATATTTATTTAAATATATTAAAAATTTTATTCAAATAATATATAAAAATAAAATTTAAAAGCTGATGAACTAAATTAAATTAAATTAAAAAATTAGATTTGAATTGAATTAATATTAACAAAATATCGATTTAAATTTAAATTAAATTTTAAAATTTTATAATATTGCATTATTTTAAAAAATTAAATCAAATCTAATATAATCATTATCATGTAATAAGTTTCATATTTTATGCTATATTTTTTACTTGAAACAAATCAATACGAATACAAAAATCGCACTGAAATTATGCCAGGAAATTGGAAAGTTTGAAGCTATGTTGAATTGAACAATAAAAAATTAAAAGAAAAGGTTCGAGTTTCATGAGCAACCTTCCTCTCCTGTCTGCCATGGAGGTTCAAAGTTGAAAGCTTTTCGGGGTGAGTTGTCTCTGTCTGAGTAGCTTTATTCATTTCAATTTCCAAAATGTTTAATCGTCATAGCAAAGACATTAGTATTTTGCATAGGCTTTCATATATTGTTATGAACAATTCCTCCTCAAACCCATCCTTCTCCGTCAGAGTTAGATGCATCTCAAAAACCTCTTCAGACCCATCTCAGTCTTTTACAGTCTCTTACCTCAAAGAAAAACTTGGGTTCTCACCAGAATCTGCCATGGCGGCTCGCAGGTATCTCTATTTCAAAACCCCAGATAAGCCTGATTCTGTCATTGCATTTCTGGAGAAACATGGGTTCTCGAAAACCCAAATCAAAAAGATCATCGCAATTCGACCAGATCTCCTGTATTTTAATGCTGAGAAAACCCTTTTACCCAAGCTCGAATTTTTCCAGTCTAAAGGTTTTTCAAGCCCTGAACTCACAAAAATCCTTTTTTACAACCCCACAATTTTAACTTGTAGCTTAGATAAAAAGATTGTCCCTCGTTTCAATCAACTTAGCAATTTGCTCCAATCTGATTCCAAGGCTACGACAGCTATAAAACGCCATCCACTTCTTATCTCATGTCAACTTGATGCTTATCTGTTACCAAATATCAGTATTCTGAGGGATAATGGAGTGCCTAAATCAAATATCATATCAATGTTTACTCACCACCCTAAGTCTTTTGTTTTAAAACCTGATCGGTTTAAGGAGATTGTGAAGAAAGTGAAGGAAATGGGGTTCAATCCTTTGTTACTTAAATTTATTCTTGCTGTCATTGTGTTTAGAAAAGTGAGCAAACCTGCAATGGAGAGGAAGTTTGACGTTTATAAGAAGTGGGGTTTGTCTGAACTGGAGATTTGGGAAGCTTTTCGAAGGTATCCGAATGTTATGGAAACATCGGAGGAAAAGATTGTGGCAATAATGGATTTTCTTGTGAACAAAATGGGTTTTCAGTCTTTGCTCATTGCCAATCAACCAAGTGTTTTTGGACGGAGCTTCGAGAAGCGGATTGTTCCAAGGGGTTTGTTTGCTCGAGATTTGTTAGCAAAAGGTTTAATTAAGAACTTGGGATTGTCTACATTGTTTGACACTTCAGAAAAGGTGTTTGTTCAGATGTTTGTTAACAAATATGAATGCAAAGCAGCAGAGCTGTTAATGCTGTACAAAGAAAAACAGGATCTTGCAATAGGAGGCAAATATAGATCAGGGTAGCATAGAATCTAACATATTTGATTGAGCTGACTTTTTTATTCGATTGAATTCCTTGATCGCAAACTTCCTCCAGTTTGAATAAATGAGTGCAACTAGTACTTTATTTTTAGCAGTATTCACTCTTGTCATCTGTGAAACTTGAACTCAACTATGTGCTCTGGCTGTTTTATGTGGTTTAATAGTCATCTTGCTTGAAATGCAACTGTGAAATGAGTCTCATTTATAGAGCTTATGATCTTTAGGTTTATTATATTGTGTGATAAGGATTTTGGCTCCAAATGGTGTTCTTTTTCATGCAACTTTTCTGCTTGTTTGAAGTTATGAAGGTCGAATTGCCTGTTGTTTTGGCGCAGCTTTGTGGCTGTAGTTTTAATTATTATAATAATTCTGCTGGTAGCCACCAAGTAAAGGGTGATGGTGGAGGGTAAGTAGAGAAAATGAGGTTCAATCCTTAAAGGTTTACGCTGTTTTTACTGGTGTCAAGATTGGGGACAATCAGCAAATCCACATCGGATAGGAAGTTTAATGTTTATAGGAAGTGTGGTTGAACTAATGAACAGAGTTGCGGAGCTTTTCCAAGGTGTCCCTTGTAGTTTACAGCATCTGAGAAAAAGTTTATGGCTATAATATATTTCTTGTAAACAAAATGAAGCTTGACAAAGTCCTTTCACGTGCTTAACTTCATCTCCACTTTGCTTGCTCAAAAGTTGTTAATGGGGTCTCATTTGCTGTGTTTATCAGTCTCCAAGTGATGATGTTCTTGTCATATAACTGTTAGATCCTCTTCATCATTTGTTTAGAGTTATGAACGTCAATTTGCCTTGGCCTAATTGCCATTTGCTTGGGAATCTTTGTCCCAAGGCGAAGGTGTGCTTGGACCATGTGGTTGTTGATTTTCCAGTACGGAACATATAGGCTCAACGGCCATTAGACAAAACTTCGGTTGAACAACGCATCAAAATAGAGTTTCCCAGACCACAGACAGAGAGCAGAGACTTGACTGTTGTGAGCACCATAACTTCAATGAACAATGAAAGATGGGGATTATGATGTCATTATCAGTTGAACATCGACGTTCCCATTGTCAAGTGCATTTGTTTTCATTCGAATATTGTAAAACGTGAATTGAAATTAATATTTTGATTAGTAATCGAGTTAGATATGATTCTTATCAAAATTTAAAAGTTTAGGACACATTCATTAGTATAAGTTCAACTAGTTTAATAAATAATAATTGTGTGATTTGTTGATAAAGTTAATATAAAATAAATGAGTACGAGAGATACCATGGTGCTTTTTGTTGATAAAGTACAAATTTTTGTAATTATTTTTTGTAATTAGAATTAAAATTTTGACTCCTAAAAATTAAGAAAATAAAAAGTCCGACGATTGGGCCTGAACAGCTAATTTATGTGAATGTACAGGTAATAGTTAAGCCTGGATGGTGGACGCTAGCACTAGATAAAGTAACACAACCCTAACAAAGCCCCGCCAATAGGAGGAGAGAATCCAGGAGAAAAAAATGAAAGTCCCGCTTAGCTTTGGGGGTTTAAGCGGCTTATTTTTTTTCAGCTGGAACTAAAAATTTGATCCTTTCAATCAAGGGTTCTGATTTTCTTCAGAATTGCAGGTGAGCAAAGTGAAGTTGTCAGTTTTCAGTTCTTATGTTGCATTTTCTCTGTAGAACTAGAGCTCTCCATAGGAGGCAAACTACTACAACCTCTCAAAGTTACAAACTTTTTTACATGATTCAAAATGACCCATCAATTTTCAGACGACAAAATGCTCTTAGATGCATGTCAACCACTTCAAACCAGCAATCATTCACTGTCTCATACCTCATAAACAAACTTGGGTTCTCCCCAAAATCTGCTCAATGAGCTTCCAATTATGTCCATTTGAAGACCCCTAATAATCCTGACTCTGTCATTTCATTTTTAGAAGAACATGGGTTTTCAAAATCCCAGATCAAAACCATGGTCAGCAAGGACCCAAAATTGCTTGCATCTGATGCGGAGAAAACCCTTTTGCCCAAGTTGAAATTTCTTCTCTCCAAAGGGTTTTCAAGCCCTGACCTTGCCAAATTGTTATCATATTCCCCAACAATTCTGCTAAGAAGCTTAGACAGACAAATCATCCCTTTTTTCAGTACTTATAGCAATCTGATTCATTCTGATGAAAAGACTGTCAAAGCTATAAAAAGGTATCCATATCTCATCTCATATGATATGAACATTATCAATGACCATTTGTTGTCTAATATCAATCTTCTACGAGATCATGGAATGCCAGAGTCACATATTACCAAATTACTTTATCAATTTCCTAGAATTTTGCTGATAAATCCTGGTAGCTTGAAGGAGATTGTGGAAAAAGTTAAGGAAACTGGGTTGAATCCTGTGATATTGAAATTTGTTCATGCTGTATGTATTTTGGCTGGAATGAGCAAATCCACTTGGGAGAGGAAGGTTGATGTTTATAAGAAATGGGGTTGGTCTGAAAAAGAGATTTGGGAATGTTTTCGAAAGTATCGATTCTGTCTTGCAGTTTCTGAGGAAAAAATCAATGCCAAAATGGATTTTGTGGTGAACAAGATGGGCGTGGATTCCTCTCGTCTTGCCAGTCAACCAAGTTTTCTAAGACAGAGCTTGGAGAAGAGGATTGTTCCGAGGGGCTTGATTGCTCAACATCTGTTGTCCAGAGGTTTAATCAAAGACTTCAAATTGTCTGTGTTATATGACAGTTCGGAGGAGTTGTTCCTCAAGATGTTTGTTAACCGATATGTAGCTGAAGCACCAGAATTGTTGGAGCTATATGAAGAAAAATTGAAAAAGTGAGTACTATTGACTGCAACATTTTTAGGATGGATTGGCACATTAAGATTCAGATTTCCCTTTGTATCATTATGTTTCTGTTAAATTGTTGATATGAAACTTGTTTTTAGCTTTACCCTGTTATGCCATTAGTGAATTTTTAACTCAACAATGCCTCTCTCTCTTTGTTTGCATTGCAATTGAACTTAAAAACAAGTTGGCGTTCATTTTGTAGTAACAACAATGAATTTGAACATTGAAATCCCTTTTACTTTTTTTTTTGTTAATAAAAGTTTAGATACGGAAAAGATTATTCTATTTTGGGTTCAAATATATTACAAATTTCATTGAAAATTTATATTGAATTTATATTACGGATAGAATAACAAATATCAAAATTAAATTTTACGAATAAAATATTTAATTTTTATCAAATCAACCAATCCCCGATAGAATTAAAATGGCATTTTGTTCACCAACAATAAAAAGTTAACTATTTTATACACCACCATTACTTACCTAATTTTTACTAATTTAATCCCAAGACTCTTTATCTTTGCTAATTTAATCCCAAGACTCTAGATGTTATTTAGTTAAGAAAATTAAGGCTTAGATTGGTGGGGTGAATTAAAAATGAAAAGATGGAAAATTAGAAGAGAGAAAAAGTGAAATAAATAAAAAATATTTTTTCTTTTTATTAGTGTTTTTGATTAGCAAGATAGAAAAATAAAAGAAAATGCAATTTTCTTTTTATTTATTGCTTGATAGAGTTAAAAAAATGAAAGAAAAAAGAGTAAAAATTACATGATTTTATTGTTATAATCTTTGGTAAGATAAAAAAATCTTAATATGATAAAGAAAATCTAAATTTTCTTTCACCGTTTCTTTTCTTTTCTTTTCAATTTAGAGTGATTTGTTTTTGTTAATCAATGTAAAAAATGATAATCTTTTTAATTTTCTTTCCTATTAAGCACACCAAAAATCAATCTTCCTTCCATTTTTTTATCCACCTTTTTTCATCCTTTTCAATTGTACCAAACACAGTCTAAGTGATACTGCCGAACGAAAAATAGAAATTAATTGGTTTCACAATGCTGACAAGAAGTTTGATAGTAATTGATACATGTATCTCTTCCTATTAAAGGTTAAAAAAAATTAGTAAGTAAAATGGATAGGAGTTTGAGAGAAAAGGAATGCAAATGTTTACAACAACCGAGGAATGAATACCTGTCTATGTGGGTAATAGCGCCAATATCTGATTCCTAACAATTCCCATACATTTCTGTATCTCTGTGTCAATCTGAAGATTCTGAGAACAATATGGCTTCAAACTTGAAACAGCAGAATCTAGTACCTGGGCAACATCTCCAGGTGGAAACTGTCTTTCTGTACATTTCTGCAATATTTTTTTGGGGGTGAAAGTAATCAGAATCAGATTTTACAATTAACAGGCAATCAGATTACCAAATACGAAAAAAAAAAAGAGTTGTGCCGAGAACTCCTGACAAAAACTTAGGAGCTACTCCGATGATTACCTGTATCATGAGCAAGGTGGCTACACAATACACGATAATGTCTGAAGGGATTCTAAGATCATCTTGGTCAGAAAAATTTTGCATCTTTACATCGGGTATGGGACTAGTTGCCAACGGATATGACACACAGGCAGTCGGAAGATCGTGAGAAGTTACTGTACTGTGGACTGAGTCTAATGGGGTAGACGACCTCAGAGCAGGCAGACAAAAATCATCCACCGAAAGCTGGTTATTTACAAAATCTATTGCGTCCTCAATCCTCTCAATGCTTTTCCCCCTTTTTCTTAAGGATGACATGGCCTAAGATGGTAATCAAGTTTAGTCAGAACTAAAGTACAGTATTCAACTTAAATAATCAAAAGTGACTACCACAGCATGATGCGATTTATGAAAAAATAAAGGCAAGGATCCATTGCTTCAAATAGTACATCATAACCATCTTCCAGGCAAAATCCGCCACATCTCAGGATTCTGCCTTAAAATGCCAAATTAAGCTCAACAGTGAGTTCCAAGCAAATATGCTTCTTGTGAGACTAGAATGTCAATATTTTCATTAAGTTTTCACAAAGATGAGATGAACGTGTCATCCTACAGATGGGATGAAAATATTCTACCAAAATAGAGGTAAGCTCTACCACCAAAACTACGATAAAATTTTTATAATTTACACTGGAATTTACGTTGTCAAGTAGTGTCATCTCGTATGGTTTAGCTCCGGGATTGCTGTAACCCTTTATTAACTTGGCCTTTTTAACCTATGGCTTATTGGTTTAAGACTGACACTTTGATGTATATGTAAGCAACTAAGCATAAAGTTCCAATAGTATGGGAAATTTTCAAAATGCTTGAAAAGAAACGTAAGAAGGGGAAGAAGGTTTCGACTATAACAAAGTTGATCCATCTATAAGGAGCCATCAAGATAAACAGTTCAGTCCCTTTTTTACCTGCATAGCAGAATTAACCATTGACCGAGCTTTCATTCTTGAACTTTCAACAATTTCAGCCACATGGGACACACATTCTTGGACATGATGCATAGAATGATCAAAAGAGCTCAACTGACAGTCGTGCCCACCAATTTTAGCCAACGGCTTCAGCAACTTAACTGAGGAGTTCGCTTGATATGAATTACGTTGCCTCAAGCAAAACAGAGCAAAAGAAACCTGCAAAAGAAAGGTTCGGCAAAGTTACAATAAAATGGCATATGACATCGGTGAAGAGATTTAAAGTGAAAACTGCATCATCAGCATCTCATGCCGGCTCATTGACTTCATTTAACTGCAAGAGAACAGCAGCATATTGCTTCTTGAAAGAATCTGAATCCTTTAGACAGTTGTCTCCACCTTTCTGGTTTTCCAACAGCTCATCATTCATACGTCGCAGTTCAGACACCACAGCCTCCCGGAAATGCTAACACAAACCTTAAACTCACTTCTCAGACACAATGCGAACAAAATTATTTGAAAGGAATTCTATGTCAGCTTTAGATAAACACAATAAACATGCAACACAAACTATGCAACATGCTACAAAAGAGAATCAGAATATTGATGCCCCAACAAAGCAAAACCACCAATTATGGAGATAAGATGGTTAAAATTACCATTATTACTAAAAGATAGGAACAATGATAGGGAGCAAAGAACGCTGAAGTATTAAAAGATCAACATTCAACAGGCGCTATATATAGCACTGAACACAAAGATAAGTTTCTATAAGAACTTGAAGTTAAAAAAGAGAGAACGAACAGAGAAAGATTCGCCAGTAGATTAAGTTTAATTCATAACAGCCAACATGGTGTACAACATTTTTGTCAAGAGCACGAGTCAACCGAGAAAGAGCTTCAACATCAGCTTCCCTTGCCTGAACCAGTGCATGAGCAGAAGGCTGAGAATTCACAGCTTGTTGAGTATAAACAGTTTCTATAGGTCCAACTTTAAGTAGTAAATTAGGACTTGATGAATCAACCTGGCCAAAGCAATTTATCCTTATGTAGGATAACAGTTACTCTGATTCTGCATTGTTTCCTATATCAAAACTTTTAGTTGTAATACTCCAACTGAAAAGCAATTTACCCTTGAATTGATTTTGTCCGATATACATGAAATGAAAACTATTTTGCAGTCATAACATACCTTAAATGGCTGTGATAAATTGCCAACATTGAAAGTTGATGGGGAAGTACGAGAGGGACTATCAGTGTTCTCCAGGTTATCACATTGAATAAATTTCATGTTCTCTTCCATCTTGCTTTCTTTTCGCTGCCCATTCATTTTGAGCTCACTGTAGTTCTCGGAAAATTTACAGATGGCAGCATTCTGTCTCAAAAGGGAAGCAGGCAAATTTTCCAATGGATATAAAGGCATACAATCAATATCCTACAATAAAAAATGTACTATTCATGAAACTTAATAGGAAAAAATAACTAAGGAAAAATAGGAACAAGCTAAATATATTTAGTAAACGGCAGAGAATTAGATTAAGCACAAATATACAAGCATTCCGAAGGCCTTAGCCTGTCATTAATCCATTAGACTGAGGCCTTAATGGCAATATTCAACATCTTCAGTTGAATGAAAGGAACATGCTGCTCTCATACATTAAGCAACTCTATAAAATAAAAATTTACCATGACAAATTCCACTCCTAGCTCAGGGCTGTCAAACTGAATCCGATAACTACTATGGTCAACAATTAACACACTTCCATCATCAATCTCTCTAATTTTTTGATGAACAGCAATGACACGCTGTCCAACAGATAGAGGTCGAGCTAAATCAGTTGGAAGTCCTTCACCAATACCAGCATGGAGTTCAGCATAATGCGTTCTAACAGATTCCCGATATTGATTGAGCTTCTCTCTTTCTTCCTTCAAAAATTGCTCAGAAAATCGTCGTGGTTTGCCAAGGGAACTGCATCGACATGACATTATGTAAGCAGAGCATCAACACCCGAAACCTTATTAAGATTTGAAAGTAGAAAGCTATACCTTCTTATGACACGCCATTCAACACGAGTTAATCTTGGAACATGACCTAATCCTACATGATCCAAATACTCCACAAACTCCCTTTTAGCAAACCATGGATAATCGATTGTACTGTAGAACCACTCAAAAGCACACCATCTCCGTGATTGATATGAAGATAGGAAGCTGCAAAGCTTTTCCTGTCATACATGATATAAATATATGGAAAAAAAAAAAAAAAAACCCAAAATATAGAAACTCAACTTCATTGGAATTGTTGAAGTAAATAGTGGTACCTTCAGATTGAGTGCTCTGTCATGGAATAACATAGCTGGAACACTAAACTTGCCCTTCACAATATCAGAGGGCTTTATATCCTTTCCAATTGCTGGCCTCTGTGCATCCATCTTTCGCTTACTCCTGACTTTTGTAGGTAGGTTGACCTGGTGAATAGATGAAACCTGTATGGTAGATGGAGCTGAAGTGTTCAAGTCCCTTCCATGATCAGTACTTGAGGATGTACGCTCTGGAGGTCTCACAGATTTCCCTTGCTTTGGATGATCCAACATACATTAAGGGATGATAGAATACAACATATATATAATAGAAGGCAGAATTATTTAGAGCCGTTTACCTTGCTCACAAGATTCTTTACCTCGTCTGGAAGCCTAAAAAAATGCACATAAAAATAGCGACATCAAGAAACCAGTAATACGTGATGAAGGGGAAGAACATGCGCCCTATAGAGTATAAATTTATGAATTTTGCTAAGTAAAAAATTTGCACATTTTTAAGTTACAAAGAAGGACCCTCAAATTGCGAGGGTCAAGAGGGAAGAAAAAAATAATTACTAAAGGAGCTAGACATCTATACCAACATAGAATGCCTTGGCTGACCACAAACCACTTAAAATATTTAACTGAGTTGATCTTTTTTATTACCTAAATTTACATCTATAATGTTCTCAATCACCAACTCAAACCTTTACCTATTTATTCACTTCCTCCTTTCTCAAATAGCAGTTCACATGATGAAAGGGCTATTCCTTACCAATTCATCTCCCTGTTATCTTCAATTCATAAAAAAATTATTTAATTCTTTTCATAATATTTTCTCTTATAAAATTTATTGTTATTTTTCTTAGTCTGTTTGTCACTCAAACTCAAGCTATGGGTGCCAAGATTACTTGCACCAAAAACAAAAAAGATTTAAGCATGCACCCAATTCATAAAGTTCAATAAAATTAATCTCAGAATCAAAAACATTTATTGCATTCATGGTAAAAAGTTTATTTAACATTCTGCAGAAGAAAAGTCTCTTAAGAGACAATCATATCAATCAAGGGACTGAAAAAAAAAAATAACATCATACATTAGCTGTGTTTGTGCTTTTTTACCTGAAAGTACCAAAGGGAGCCATTGTAACTCTTTGAAGCTAAAAATGTGAAAAATACAAACCTCAATGTTTGGAGATTCACCCAACTGAGAATCAGCATCAGTTTAATCTGCACCTAGTGAGCAAGTTGCATATTATCGTTGTTTCATACTGTAAACCCAATGAATTTTTTTTTGCCAAAAAAGAATCAATGAAAAACGAAAGGATGACCTACAAAATAAAAACAAGCAAAACTGTTGCATCAACTCTTACTTTATATGTTGAGACTTCTGTCTCCTTTTTCTGCATTCCAACATTATTGGATTGTTTCATCCTGGCTCCGGGAATAGCGATGAACATCATGATGAAAAAGTTTTCCCGTTCTAGATGGTTTGGAGGCAGTGGCCTTATCTCCAGGACAGGGTTGATTTCCTTTTGGTTTAGCTTTCTAACAAACTGTCATTTTCTCTTCCTTAAAACTTCACAGATGACTCTACACAGAAAAAAAAGAGGTGAGATATGACAATTACATTAAACACACCAGAAAAGAGAGCATCTTCCAGATTTGAATCATACAAGAAGGATTTACGGGTGTGAGTTAAGCATAGAGCAAATGAAATTCATTAGTCAAATAGAGGCATGGTTTTTTATCTTGTGTTAAGATTGCAGGCTTTAACTTATTGAAAAGATCATCTGAAGCATGAAAATGCCATTTGAAAAATCTTACCGAAGTCACATCTATAATCCTGGAGGATTAAAGCATTTTGGGCATAAGATACTCATACAACACCCAAAACATTTTGACCACTCAGACTCTTCTGTAATTTCTCTCACAGGGTATTATTTTAATGTCATACTCATTAATCGCTTCAATTTAGATTTATAATGCATGACAGAAAGCTGAATTTGGCAAAAATAAGGTGGCAAATCAAGCTTATTATATAGGCAAAACTTGTAAACTTGGTATAATCTAGCAGTTAGCATATAAAGGCTGCCACAAGCATAGTAATAATTGAACAAGTTGCTACTTCCGGATTAAGAAGGTGGTACATTGTAAACTCAATGATGTGATTATAAGGATGTGATTGGTACAAAAGATTATGATGGGATAGGATAAGATGATATTAGGAATAGAAATAAATTAAATAATATCATCTTATCTTGTGTTTGATGTGTTCAAAGATTAGAATAAGATAATTTTATTTATTGATCAAAATTATCATTCTTTAAAGTTTATACAATTTAAGTTATTGATATAATTTTTAAGGGTATAATATACCATGTAAGTTCAATCCTTTGGATTCAAAACAATCCTCGCCATTTTGGGAAGATCGAAATAATCTTATGCTAAGAGGATGATTAATCTTCCTTGCAATCTTGTCCCCTTCTTTAGATACAAATCAAATATGACATAGAATGATTATCATCCTTTCCTATCAATCATCCTATGGACCAAATGAGACCTAAGTTCCTTTAGGTTGTTCTAGTTGTTTGTATTTGGTTATTAGATTGCTTTAGAATGTGCATCTTTAGTTTGCAATTTATTCTGATTTCTTTGTTCTGTTTATGTGCAGGTGGGGCTTCAAATTCGGGAAGCAAGGTTCGACATGTAGATTCCTTTGGTGACTCTGAGGTGCTTTGATTATGCCATTTTGTAATTGATAAATGCAAAACTCTTGAGGTGCTGTTGCTTCTCATTTGTCATTGGTTTATCAATTTAGCAGGATTCTTCGGAGGAAGCTAACTTGGAAAATCCTGAACCGAAAAATGATAAGAAGAAGAAGAAGAAAAACAAGAATAAAAAGGAGAACAAGAACAAAAAAAAGAAGGTTGCTTTTTTTTTTG